TTTTTTTTTTTTTTTTGCAAATAATACATTAGGTAATAAACGTACGTTGATGCTTTGGTGTATTTCCTCTGAGCGAACTAATATTCCAGAAGTTGATCTCTGCTTTATAGTTCAAAGAAAGTAAGAAAAATACTTTTTGCGGCTCGGCAATGTTAACACCATAGACAAATGTTACATCGTTACCAGCAGCCTTGAAGAAGAATTAAAAAAACAATTGGCTTGAATAGATAAAAAAAAGCTTTTTCTTTTTTACTTCTTGTTGCACCGTTTTCTACAATAATCAGGTCAAAATATTTACATGTAGCTCAATTAAAATATGTATTATGCAATTTCCTTTACTTTTTGTTAAGAAAGAACAAAGCTCTAATTTATTATGGTTCAATGAATGATTAAGAGAAAATGAAATGTAGGGAAAACAACAAAAAAATAGCATTAGAACAGACATACGTCTTTCCTGAGCTCTGTAAGTAATATTTTCCCATTATCAATTGAAAAAGACCAAATTCTAACAGCATCACCATCCATTTTATCGATGGCTATCATTCGTGGGCGTTGCGGTGGACGTCTTCAAAATTAAAATCATAATTATTTTTAGCACGATTGTTTTTTTTACTTCCAGAAAGAAAATTAGGTTTTTTTTCAATTGTATGCCGATTTAGGCAAAGTGAATAGAAAAAAATGGTTAATAATACGCTCTTTTTTTTCCACTAGTAAAAATATATATGTGAAATAAGAAGTAGTAAACTGATAAATTTTTATACTTGCGTAACAGTTTCAACGGATATTCCAGTAGGAAATTGGAACCTCGCCGGGCTACATAACGTTTATTTAAGGTTGCATCAATTTCGATCAGAATTTCTGGCGGTGACAAATTGCTCAATCCCCACGCTAAAAATAACCTTAATGAAACGTCTTCTTGACTTAAATCAACAACAATCAATGTGAAGAATAAATTTTATGTAAACTAGATCAATTTATTGCTGTCAAATTTACTGATGAATGTAACAAAAAGCCAAATTTTTATCTTTATTTTTCAGAAAACGAAAGAAAAAAGAGAAAAAACATCTGTTCAAAATTAATTGTAAACAGGCAACTCTTACCTTCTTGAGGCACAACACCAGATCTTCCATGTTTTTTCAGTTCTGCATTTTCAAGTACCTAAAGACAAAAAAAGAGT